CCAGTGCCGGGATCCGGGGTCACCCAGTGCCGGGATCCGGGATCACTCCAGTGCCGGGATCCGGGATCACCCAGTGCCGGGATCCGGGATGACCCACGGCCGGCATCCCCCGCGGGCACCGGGCACGGCGTCAGCGGAAGGAGCCGGAAGGAGCCGCCTCCTCCGCAGCGACACCGGGAGGCGGCCGGAGCGGCCGGGAGAGGCGGGACTGAGAGGGGAACGAGCGAGAGGCGAGTGCTGAGCGGGGGAAAAGCGGGAGAGGAGGGATCTGAACGGGGGAAAAGCGGGAGAGGCGAGTCTGGCCGGGAGAACGCTGATCCTGTCGGGAACGCGGGTCCCGCCGGAGGAGCACGGGACAGGCGGGTCCCACTATGGGGACACGGAACAGGCAGCACCTGCCGGGGAACAGGGGACAGACGGGTCCCACCGTGGGGACACGGAACAGGCAGCACCTGCCGGGGAACAGGGGACAGGCGGGTCCCACCGTGGGGTCATGGGACAGGCGGGTCCTCCTGGCGGGACACGGCACAGGCAGCACCTGCCGGGGGACACGGCACAGGCGGTCCCACCATGGGCACACGGCACAAGCAGTCCCATCCCCTCTCCGCCGCCCCATCCCGCGGAGCCGCCCCGGCCCCGCTGAGCCCAGCCCGGGCACAGCCACAGCCGGCGTGTCCCCAGGTCAGTGCCCTGCAGGGCTCCTGTTCGCCGGGAAACGGCGGGTTTGGAGCTGGGGAAGGTGGCAGAAGTTAACAGAACTGGCTGCGGATACAGAGGCTCTAAAGCTTGCGGGGTTTTGAGCGTGGAGATGCACGATGGTGCAGCATCACCCTAAGTWGATCAAGGGTCTGRAAMATCTCTYTTACAAGGAAAGGCTGAGGCGGTTGAGGCTGCTCAGGCATTTCTGAAAAGAAATGACTGAGAGGGGACTTTSTTAATGTGTATAAATATCAAAGGGAGGTGTCAGAGCATGGACCAGCTCTGCTCCCTGGGGCCCAGCAATGGCACAAGAGGCACCGGGCACGAACTGATGCCCTGCAGGCTCCACCTGAGCATGAGGAAGAACTTTCCTGTGCAGTGATCACACACTGGAACAGATTGTCCAGACAGGATATGGAATCTCTCTCACTGGAGATATTCCAGAGCTGCCTGGACACAATCCTGTGCCATGTGCTCTGGGATGACTCTGCACTGTGCTCTCTTCCTACCTGAGCTGTTCAGTGATGTTGTTCAAGCACAAATAGATAATAGCAAATTTAGCATCATCATTTGAGATGTTAGTACCAACACAGGAAATGGCCTTATTTCCTTGACTTGACTGAGCATTATAATTCTGTGCAGTCATGGCAACATTGGCTTTTTTTAGGTTTGGGCTTTTTGTCTGTAACACAAGCAAATGACTAGGCCTTCCTAAAATATGCAGTGGCTGCCACTGAATTACTAACAGTTGTGTATTTGATGATTCTGTAAAAGAGAGCACTGGAGCATTGCTGCATTACTGAACAGTGCCATTGGATTTTTATCTTCTGAAATATTGCTGGAACAATGTTCACACAGTGTCAGGGTGTCCCTAAGAGCTGCCTGTGTTTCATTTTAGGTTGAATATCCTGACAACCAGCCTGTTGTCTTGGAGTGTGGTGGAGCTTGCATGATCACACCTTGGCACACCTTCTCAGAAACGATGTCATGAGGTTCCCTTGCTGATGCAAACTGCTTCTGGATGCCTGTAAACGGGAGAGAATGGAATCCTCTGTTTGAGGGACTGTTGGAGCACTGCAGRTGTCCCTCTCAGCAGCACATCATGGTAGATGTGGCAGAGAAGGAGATGGATAACCCCACGTTTAGAAGTGACACTGTGCTGTCTGATGTTCACTTGCACTGTCCGAGCAAAAGGCACCTCATGGTACGACTGAATGCAGTTGGGCAGCCAGGTAAGGGGTGTTTGCACTGATGGAGCTGTATTTTAACTGTTTTCATTTCTTTGTAATGCCTGAATCCTCCTTTGAATGGTTGATGTTAATAGTTGCTTATTTCGTTCCAGTTATAAGCAGAAGCATCACCTACTTAACTTTAGAAAGTGAKCTAGCTGGGTTCTCCTCATGAGATTAACTCCAGAAATGAAAACTTGTAGACAGCMTGTCTTAAAATAAAATTTTTAATTACTTTCTGGCAAGAAGTAACCAAATTAATTGATTCACTGTTTTAATTTAATATTTGTTCATTGARCTATAGTGTCAATRTAGAACTTTGGGAGTCATGATTAGAAAAAAATTATGGTGTTTCTTGTATTCAAGCAAAAGGTGAGGACCCAGGGCCTTTAAATAATGTAACTTAAGTTTAAAGTAAAAACTATCAGTAATTAATTTATGAATTTTAATTGCATGTTTATGTGATGGTTTACCATCTATTCTATGGAGTAGCCTAACAGATTTATTTGGTTTTTTGTGTTCTTTTTTTGTTTCAAAAAAGAAACTCAAAATAGCAATGGATTTGGCTGATGTAGAATTTGAAGAGTCAGGACTGGTGGAAATGAGTTGGCAAATGCCCCTGGCTGATTGCCAGCCTGTAGATTGCTATAAAGTTGTCAAGGGAACTGACCTTGAAGCTGCTGGCAGAATGTTCTGTACAAAAGTCCTGCTGTGACAGAAGTGTTAATTGTTTTTTCAAACCCAGTTGTGGCATAAAAAGAGTAACTTTTGCAGCTGTTCTGGTGCATGACAATGTGAGAAATAATAAAAGTAGGCCTGACAAAGAAATGAATAATAATTTTGACCCTGATCAGGTCAAAACCAGGTAATTAATGCCACAGCAGATCTCCATGCTGTTTGACATGTGTTTGCTGTGATTTTGCTTGGTGCAAAGAACCTCTCAAGAGAAGGAAATGGCAGTGTATGCTGCCTACTCTGAATGAGCTCTGTCTGGGAAWTCCCTCAGCTTATTGAGACAAGAATTGGATTGTAGTGTGGCAGCCTTTAATGCTACGACCATCTACCACTGCCACTTTGCTGTATTTTAGGGGAATGTATGGGGATTTAAGCTCTTCCCTTTTGTGTCAGTTTGACTTTCCACCTTTTGAATGCCATGGAGATGCAAAGGATCAGAATGGACTTGAAGAACAAAAGCATTTTTTCACTGATGGCATTCTCTAATTGGTTAAATATTCAAATCACTTTCATCTGGCTGTCATGCAAACAGTAGAGACTTTAAAATTGCTCATTCTAGGTAGGACAGGCATTGAAGATTTTATTAGATCTAGCTAAAAATGGTCTCCCTAGAGAGGAGCTTTCTAGAGAGGAGCCTCAGTCAGATAYTTAATCTGTGAACCTCAGTCAGATATTTTATATGTGAAACGCATACCAGAATTTCATGCATGCAGAAGTTGTGCACAGATTGTGCCTCATCTGGTGTTTAACCTTTCCCYTCCACTCCCTGTTTTTACAGTATTCCTGTCATATTTCAAACTCCTGTGGAGCACAGAGGATTTGGCATCTGGGAAACACATGAGAGAAATCACAACAGGAAGAGAACACCAGTGCAGAAGTGGAGATGAGCTGTGTGACAAGGACAGGAGTAAAATAAAAAAAGAAGGAGAATTAAATAACCAAGGAGCAGAAACTCTGCTAGATGATGATGGAGATTTGGAAGTGGTCAGAAGGCCTCGAAGTGCCTCTGATTTGGAAGCAGAGGACCTTTTGAGGGATATAGTGTGCCCTGTAATTCTGATGAAAGGGAAAGAWGATGATTTTGAAGATGAAGAGCAAGAGTGCACTTGCAGTGACGTTGTTAAAATAGGTAAATAATAAGCTTACAGTCAAGGAGATATCGGTCAAATAGGTTTCTGTAAAACAAGAAAACTTTTTGCAAACATTTGTTTGCAAATATTTTGCAAATATTTTTTAAATTTACCTTTTTTCTCTGTAAGTGATTTGGGCAGTTGTTTACATGGGAAACTCAGTGCTCCTTTGTTAGAGTGGGTGTTTGGCATTATCTAGCACTATTCTATAGAATTAAGAGTGTTTAGTTCTATGTTTGAAAGGGAAGCACAGCCTGAGTTTCAAACTTGCCACTGTGGAATTTGATCTGAACAATTTCGAGATAATTATTTCTACTCTACTCTCATTTTCACAGAGCACACTATGGCAACCCCCTTAGAAGACGTTGGYAAACAAGTAGGTGTCCTGCCTTGTACTGTCTTGATTTTCATGGACTGTGCTTCAGAATTGACTCAATTTTAACTGCTGCCCTTGTYCCCAGGTCTGGCGTGCTGCCTTCCTTCTGGCTGATCACATTCTGTTTAACAGGGACACGTTCAGGTGCTGCTCTGTGCTGGAGCTTGGAGGTGGCACTGGAATTACCAGCATTATCATGGGAACAGTTGCCAAGAGAGTTTATTGCACAGGTAAAGCAGTTGTTTTCAGTTAAATATTTTCATGCAGCTTTCCAATGCAGTGCTTTCATCCTGGTGTTTTCATGTTCATCTGTTCAGTTGCAGTTAATCTTTTTTTATTAATGTATATCAAGTTGTGTTGTTTACTGTAAAATAGCAGGAACTTTCTCAAGGGACTGAGAAAGCACAAGAGTTTAAAAGCAATGTATATTGCAGTGAACTGAAGATGGTGTCTCCAGATTAAAACAGCTACTGTAGGGATCTAACTTCTTTCTTCAAGGGTTGCTCAGAGTTTGGAACTGAAAAAAGGATATAGGGAAGCCATCATCAGTGGATAGAGTTGCTCTGAATTTTCCTTAATCTCATGGTCTTGAGAGGATCTTCGAGTATTAGTCTGAGAGACATACATGGCCCATACAAAATATTAATATYTTTAATATMATTWTCACTTTTTTCCAGATGTTGGTGAAGATCTTTTGGCCATGTGTGGGCAAAACATTGCATTAAACAAACACCTGATGGAGCCAGGAGGTGATGGCTGAATGGTCAGATTTTGGCTCTTTCCTTTAGCTCAGGTGCTGTTTGACAGACCATTTGTGACTGATGTGATCTTTTTCTRTCCACAGGAGGGGAAGTTAAAGTGAAAGAACTGGACTGGCTGAAGGATGAATTCTGCACTGGTAGGTGCTTATAATGGGTCCTTTCAGATTGGGCTTGGTGTTTGGTTTAACACATACAAAAGCCTCTCTTGGGCCACAAAAAAAAATCTGGCTAATGATAATATTTGATACTRCCAGTTGAAAAGGTTTTATGTTTGTTAGGCTTTCAAATAAAGGGTTTTTTTATGAAGAATAAATTTTAAAAAGCATATGAAATAAGAAGATTAATCAAAACTTATATAAAGATATATCTGGGGTTTTGTTTAAAGGTTTACTTGCTTTGATGTATTTAAAGCTGTGATCTTRCCACAGGGTTGTAATTGCCTGTGAGTTCTGAAGTGAAAGAAAACTTTTGCTTGCCAGTCTGCCTTGGGTGGGTTGGACATAACTCAGAGAAAGCAAAGGAACTTCAGAGAATGAACAGAGGGAGTTTTGATATCAATTTAATGGTGTGTGCTCTGTTTCTGGAGTAGCAGATGCCCACAGGAGCTCAGAAGTTCCTTTACTCCAGTCATTTGAGACATTTAATCATGTACACCAAAGCCATATTCTTCCTTACAGATCCTGAGGCTCCTTATAGCTGGTCTGAAGAAGAGATTGCTGATTTACTTGATCACTGTTCTGTGATAATKGCAGCTGATGGTAGGAAAATGTAAACAGTAAACTTTTAAATCAAACGCTTGAGCATTGTGAGTAATAATTTAAACATGCCTAGTTTGCTTTTAAAATCTAATAGGTCAGATCCTTACCTCAKTTGCCAAACTCTGCCTTAAGTGTTCCTGCCTGTATTTTCATTTCTAAACACTTGCATTTACATTCTGAATTAGCAATAGGGAACAGATGTGGCAAGCTACTAGCTTTTCCATTTCTTTGGTGCATTAGTTATTTGTGACTTAATAAATTGCTCAACACACTGACAAGTAGCTGATAAATCAGAAGAGTTGTGTTGTCCTGTCACTGGACATTGTATTACATAACTTCTGTGCAAATAATGCTAAATTGGTGGTTGGACTAAGATTTTCTGTCATGTGTATAACCGTTTCAGATGCTGCACTTTCCCATTGAGTCTTTGCCTTTGGATATCACTTTTTTCCCTGAACTTTTTCTTGCTTAAGAGAAGGATTGAAAAATGACAGGCTAGCTTATCTSTATAGGAAAACCATTGTTGTTTTGATCTATAGATAAAGGAGAATTTGTTTTGGTCATGATATTCAGAGGAGTTGCAATGCTGCTTTCCAGAGAGATATGGTTATAATGGTAAATTAATTGTGGTCTGGTTTGGGTTTTTTAAAGAAAAGAGGCTCTATACTCTCTGTTATCCTGTTTTCTCTAGCTTTGCAATGATTATTTCCAAYGGAGAAAATTCATGTGAAAGCTTGTAATGATCTGACAAGTGATTCCCRTTGTTATGAGAGAAAGCTTAAAGAAAGCCTGGCAGCAGGGGATGCTTCTACGGGGTCAGTTGTTGCCATTGAAAACATAATTTGGCACTTACATAAAATAGCGCCCTATTCAATTAGAATAACGAAGGCCTGTTTTTGTTTCATACCTGAGATTTAAATAAATTGTATACTTGATTATACATATGCTCTTAATCTCTTTTTTTTGTAGTTTTCTATGATGATGACCTGACAGATGCCTTGTTCAGAACTCTGTATAGAATCACACACAACTTGAGAAATTCTTGTACAGTTTACTTAGCACTAGAAAAGAGGTGAGTATTACCAAGAACTTGAAAGCACTAAAAACTTTGTGTGCTTTATTTGGAAGAAACATCTGTTTTAACTAAAGATGGGCTTTTGATTTTCTTGGTGCCAGTTGACCACAGGCTGCTTAGGACAAGGATTTTTTTTTTCTACATGCTTAATTTTTATCAGTTCACAATCTGAGTTGCACAAGAGTTTGTYTTTTGTTGTCCTACCTTTGCCTCACCTGAAATAACCTCTGTGCAAATAAGAATAAATAGGTGGCTGGATTGATGTATTCTATAATGCCTGACCACTTTTCCTAAATATTTTGGAGGTCACAGAGTGGAATGAAGCAACTTAGAATTAGAGTTCATATTTCCTGGCTTGAATAACTCTAGAACAGTTTCTCCTGATTGCTTTCAAGGAATTGTTGACTGTTTTTAAGTAGCCATCTGTGGGAGTCCATTCATGAGCTGATACACAAATAGGCTTTGCTTGAATCTCTGGAGATATGCAAGCAATAACTCTTCCTGTGCTTYGCTGCCAGGTGTTTGTCCAGGAAGCCAAGCCAATAATTCTGTTATGGCAAAGTGCCCTAAAATCAATGGAAAGATTAATCAGAGAGTTATTGTGTATTGATGCTGACATAACACCTTTTCTGCTTTTCAGGAATGGGGGCTGTACATTTTTTGGCTGCTGAAGGGAGTTAATTATGCTGAGAAGAYCTATTTTTCCCCCATTCTTTAATTAGCTGAAGAAAGTTACACGTCCATTTTAAATGCCAATGTAGGAGGGATGTTCTAAATTAAATACTCTTTTGCCAGGCTGAACTTCACTTTAAGACATATGGACGTTACATGTGAAGCCTACAGTCACTTTAGAAATACYCTAAATGATTTGGAGAACCTCCAAGATGGAAAAATGAAATATACAGTGGAGCCCATTAAACTTGATTTCTGCCAGTTCCTTGTTTATGAGCGAGTTGAGCAGTTGGTAAGTGGCATTCATGAAAATAAATGCAATGTGTCAGGCTAATCATCTCAAATTAATTTTCAGCTGTTTACATAACGTGAACTAAGAACAGGAGAATAAACATCACCTTTTCTTTTATTCCCATTTAGCTTTTTTGATTTAAAATGATCCTTGTTTGTGCTTACATAATCTGTACTAGATGGACATGTCCTGGTTTTGGCTGGGACAGAGTTGATTTTCTATCACCAGCAGTAGAGTGGATGAGATTGCCCTCAGTTCCTCAAACAATAAGAGACTTTTACTTTGTAAAATGCCATTTTTGTGATTGAACTGGAAAATGGRACCAATATGTCTTCTCATTTATTTTCTTGTAGAAGAGCTTTCATTTCACAGTTTTAGTAATTCCTTTCCCAGTTCAGAGATCAGGAAATAATGTTCTAATWTCTATGAAGAAATCAATTAGCTGTAAACTTGTTATTGAGAAACATGTCAGATATAATATTTCTGGGTATCTAATTACCTCTCAAACACTTATGGTTCTCTTTCTTCATTTTTTTCCAAATTATCTGCTCTCGGAAATACTATGCAGGGTAACTAACAGCTTGCTGACTTCTAGAACAATCCAATCTAACAAATCTTTTTAGAGGAATTGCAAATCTTATGCTGAACTGCAAACCTGCTACCAAGAAATTTTGTTCCTGTAGTCAATGTACTATTGTTGTGTGTGTGCACAGTAAATTGGCAGGGGCTACAGTTGCTTCATGAGATTGATTTATTTTACTTAATGCTGAAACCTTCAGGCATAAAACATGTGTAAAACTTATTTAAAAGCTTTATAAGTATATAAAAGTGATGTGGATTATACCTAAATGTGTMAATTCATTCCCTGGCTGCTTTGAGGAAGACTGCTGATCCTCAAAATGTATGCATTTTTATTTATCATTCAGTATATTGCCACAGTTGAAAGATGTCATGGTGAAGAGTATGTGATAGTCTGCTGATAATCCTTTGTACAGCAGACAAAGTATATTAATTTATCCTAAAGAAATTAAGTGATCTGTTTTCCTCCTTGTCCATAAAATTGAGAAGGGAGTGTGTGTTTGTATAAGCCATGCATTTGTGAGACCTTAATTCCTCAGTAAATTATTTCTTCAGTTGTTTTTTTGCTAGCATTATTGAAACCATTTGTCAGCACAGGCTAAGAAAAAGAGCAAGAGTATCAGTGAAAATGCTGCAGAAGATCATGCAGACCAGTGAAATCACAGAMTCACAGAATATTCTGAGTTGGAAGGGACCCACAAGGATCATTGAATCCAGCTCTGAAGTGAATGGCCYRTACARGGGTCAAACCCACAACTTTGGCATGCTCCAATCAACTGAGCTAATCTCAAACTATTTTGAAACAATTATTTTATACTAAATGCACATTATTTTTATAATCATGATTCAAGAATGAAGAAATTAGCTATATGTCTCTGTTTCAAAGATAATTTTGTTGTTTCTAGATTACATAGATGGCTTTAGTATCCATCCATAGATGGATACTGTCTATACGTGGAAGTATAGGGTATGTCTTAAAACTTGTCTAACAGTGAGCATGTTAAATTTTTTTCATAATTGCAACCTCCTGATGTGAGAAAATACCTGCATGTATTTTTTCTGCCCCTGCAGGAATTGTGGAAGATAGTGGCTGAGCACCTAACATGACAGGGCCACAAGAAAATAGAGGATCTTAATCTAAGAAGAAGGGCTATTTTGCTGTTCTGAGACAAAGAATTTCATCCCAAGGAGAGCCTCTTCCTGGTGGAATGTTGTTCTCAGAAAGTATTGCAATGCAGTTTTGCTTTACTTTTTTGGTCTGGGCACTTGGTTTCTTGGACTTGTGCACTTGGACATGATTTCTTTGATGTTTTTGAGGACCTACCGGATGCCAGGTGGTGGTAGTGACATGGTGAATTGCTCTTTGGGATTGATGACTTCAATTTTAGAGTCTGACAAAGAAGTGTTCAGCCTTTTCCATGTGGTTGATTTGCAGATGTCATGCATCTCCCCTTTTCAGGTTACAGAACATGGACACAGCTCTCAGTCTAATCCCAGTTGACATTGTTTGAATTTCTGGACACTTGTGAAACAGTTCTGGACAACACTTTTTTGTCTTGCATGAAATTGTCTTTAAGCAAGTTGTTTATGAAACTTYTCTGTCTAGATCACTCTAGTTTAGGGCCACTATCTAAACTGAAAGGAGACAAGATACATTTTGTTTGAGCCTCTAAAAATACTCCACAGAGGTTTTGGAGTATAGGAGGTCAACCCTATATTGGAATTTTGAGCTATTCTGTCCTAGGCAGGTTGAGCGTGAGAAGGTACCACATGAAGTGAGATGCTGCAGCTCTTGAAATACTTGGAATTCTACCYTCAGTATATACATGTAAGGCTGGGGGGAGGGAGGTAGCCAAGAATGTCTTGCCTACACAAATGGGGACCTTCAGTGTCTGACCTGGATTAAAGTAAACATATTTATTAAATCTCTTCTGTGTTATTAACAAAACTGAAAACCTGCTTGTACTTTTATAACTGTTATGTGCACTGTTGTGTTTATATCAGTTTGCCATGTGTGCACTGCCATGGAAATCCGTGTGCCCACYGGATTCCTCAGCGTTAGGAGAGTGTCAGTGATGGAGCTGTTCCAGCCTGGGGCTCGTGGGAGTGTGCAGACATTCATTAGAAGCATCTGACTGACTTCTTGAAAGCCTGTTCTGCATTTGGTTTCAGCCAGTTATTTCATAACCTGCTTATGTGTGTGAAGACCTATTTTTTGTGKTCTTTAATGAGATGAAAGGTTATTAGATGATAATGGCCATTCCCTGTGAGTATAGTCAAAATAAAAATTACATTATGTTAGCATATATCTGCCTAGATTAATGCAAAACTTCTCTCTTAAAACTCTCATTTGAACTTCAAAGATAAAAAACGGTATTTTAATCGAAAGATTCCCAAAGTCGTGTTTGTTTGTTTGTTATGTAATGTTAACTTTGGTAGATTTAACTGTTTTGAATGTAGCTGCTTGTTTCAGTAGTGGTTTTTTGAAGCCTGTAGCAAGAAATCAATKTGAACTGATGTGAAATAGTGTGTGCAGTTAGGGAGGATTTTTTTCTCACACAGGATTTCTCAACATCTTTGGAATTATCTAGAGAAACTCACCTGCAAGTCCTTCCTTTCTGTGAAGGGAGGGAAAATAGGTACTTAATTTAAAACATGAATTTTATTTTTTTTTTATTTCTACTCTGCTATGGAGCTTAAATTGGAAAGTTTTCAGTTAAAAAACTGATTTTTCTCTTTTGCTAAATAAAGTCATCAGGCAGTTGGGAGCATTTCTGGATCTGGATGGCGAGTCCAGTGGTCATCCAGATGGATCATTTTGTGGAGAGAGCAACACAGAGGAGGTGAAGGGGAACCTTTGCAGTGCAGTGTTCTGATAAAAAGGAGGAGTGTCCAAATACTCTTGGAAATTACAGTACTGGATAGACACGTGAGCTTCCAGGAGGAAACTGGTTTGAAACAAACTGGATTTTCTGTCACTGGCATATGGWGAAACAACAAATGCCTTTTCTCAGTTCCCATCCCTGACCTGTTTTTATGTCTTAAGAGAAGCAAAGGTGATACAATTACAGAYACTGGTCAGGAAGAGAACTTCTATGCAACGTCTAAACAGCTCTATTTTGGAGCCTTGCGAAATAATTGCATTTATTTATTTTCAGTCTTTGTCRATGTGAAACTTTTGAGAGTTGCTTTGTTGTGAACGACTGTGTGTAATTTTGCAGTAGAAAAAAGTTGAGGGTACTCCCTTGATGGGATACATTCTGTATATTTATCATTGCTGGGTGTTCTCAAGTGTAGGTGGCTATTTGTAGGCCATCCTTGTAGCTCCATCTGCTGTACAACACTTTGAGTCAAAACATTTTACAGTTTGTTAAACACCCTGTTCCTTTCTAGTTTAACAGTATTGTATTTTGGAGTAACAGTTTAGGTTGAGAATGTGGTTCTGCACTTCTCACCTACACTTGCAGATGAAGTTACTGTGGAAATAATCCTGAAAAAAAAAGTGATGTTGCCTACTTTTTGACAGTAGCTTTAGGAGGCTGCCTCAGGAAACATTCTAGGAAAAAGTGGATGAAAAAGTGTGTGGTAGGGACTCCTCAATCCTTAGAAGGTGAGGATTTTAATTGGATCTCAAATTTTTACAGCATATAACTATTGTAAGRTTGTTCATTAAAGTGGATGCAGAATCCCTGTGTCTGCATGTTATGACATGGAAAGGAGGTTTGTGAYACAGGAGGTTTGTGTACTCTTACAGATTTCATCCTGCTGTTGTTCTACTCATCCTGACCCTAGTTTTCTGTTGTCCTGTCCATCTGATCTGGAAATCGGTGCATTAACAAATTAAAGGTTCCTCTTGAAAAGTAACTGCCTCTTTGTGCTGCCAGCAGTGCAGTCAGCTGTGTCAGTACAGCACTTTGCCTCAGAGAAAGTTTCTCCCAGCAGATGGCACACAGAATTTCTTTAGCAATACCAGCACCTAAAAGCAGTAAGAAAATACCTACATAGATATGTGTTTGTGTGCATGTGTGTTTGTTTACACATTGTTTGCCCAGAACAGCCCCATTGGTGTGAGCAAGAAGAGATGTAAAGAAACAGCCTTAGCTTCTTAGCAAGGTCAGTGTATTCTCCAGGYTTCTTGAACAAATATTCAAAGGGAGTTCTTGTCAGATGCTGATACATAAGATGTTAATAATAATTTAAAAGTAACATAACTCCTGCCTCAAAAATGAGTAAAAATACATGTAATAAATTAGCCAAGAAAGTTAACAGGGAATTGGACAGAAGACAGCATAAAAGAAGTAAAGTTTACTGCCCTATAATGSCCCTGCTCAGTTCTTGTTGTAAGGGATATCAGTAGCATGTTTATATGTTTATGTTATAGATTGATCAAAAGGGACACCAAGAAATCATCTGCTCTGTATTCCTCTCAAAGCAGAATCATACTCATCTGAGGGTTGAGTGTTTGTCTTCCTTCTTAYTGAAGGCTCTCATCATAGAGATCCTGTATTCTCCCAGGAATCTCTTGTAGTGGTTCCTTACCCTTTCTGATGCAAATGGCCCGCTCCTGTCTTAATGGCTGAACTGCAGCCTCTCTTACAATTTTGRACCATTAAATCTTTCTCACTGTAATGAGCTGACAGACATAAGGGTTCTGGGCAGGATAAGTGGAAATGAGGAGGCGTAGATGGCCCAGCCTGGAGTGGTGTGTGCAGGGACAGAAGGATCCTGTAGCACCATCTGCAAACTGGCGGTGTTTGCAGCGAAATGGAACAGGTCTGGCCACTCAGAGCCTGCGGTGTTCCTGCCTTGCTCGTGTCCTCTGCAGCTGTCCTGTGCAGGGTCTGACAGCTCCCGTCTCTTGTGAATAAATGTGCATTCGTTATCAATCCCAGTGCAGTTCTGTGAATGAGAGAGGCTGCCTGTGTGCTGGTCACGGCAGAGGGGAGGGAGCTGTACATTTCAGAATCGCATCTTGGCCTTATAGTACCCACATTTTAGGTTTTGAGGAAAACCAAGACTGTGAATGAGACCTAGAATTCTGTGAGATGAGAGTCCAGGTAGGGCTCAACATGTGTTCAAATAGTTTCTGTTGTGGATGAAATACTTAATCTTATTTTTTATTGGGTTGGAGTTTCAGGGGCAGTATTGTGTCTGCAAATACCACATTGCTGTAAATGAACCAAACAGCAACTAAACAGGTCATTATTGGATTGAGCTGCTTTTGTTGCTGTCCACAACAAAAACGTTTTTGCTGCGTCAGGCTGAGATGCTGGTGAAGATTTGGGTATTAATTTTCGAGTTTGGCATCGTACTAGATTTAATTTGAATTTCTAATCAGAGTTAGAAGACCAAATGACTTTCCCAGTTGTTGCATTTGCTGAATTGTGTCCCAAGTGGCAGCCGGTAAATACGAGGCAATAAGGAGAGGACAGTGGTTCTCGGTGGAGCTGTAACGGTGCAGGCACGGATTCCCATCGCGCTTATGAAGCCGGCTCCGCTGCCCGTGTCACGGACGCGCTGGAGCCCGCGGAGCAGGCGGAGAGGAGGGCGGGCAGTCCCTTTCGCTGAGGGGCCATGGGCTCTCCGTGCAGCCGCCGAGGAGGGCG